AAAAATATTATTAAGGAGAGAGAATAATAAAAGAACAGGAATTAAGAAGATAGAAGATAACGGTTGACATTTCTTATAAATATTTGAAATTCAAAATTGATTGAAAAGCAAGAAGCCGGAAGAGAGTTCTCCAGGTAAGAAGTGCAAGAGAAGAAACTTTCAGCATAGAACTTACGGTTAGATCTAGTAATTTGAACGATACAACCTAACTGCCAATCAAGTACTGCGCTTAATTTCGTAAAGTCAAATTGCCAAAGAGGAAAGCTCATCAGAACAATTACCATGTAAATAGATATAGAAAATACGCTACGGCGGTGGGAAAGTGACTGAAGCCAAGATGCCATATCAGGTAGACTTATAAATGTGTAAGATAGATTCTGGTGTTAAAAATGGTCTAGCACGGCACAATGAACCAACTTTCCTAGCAAAAGACATAGCAGTATAATCTTTCCATTTCATGTCAGCAGAAAACAAATTAACTTGATTAAACTCAAACGATCCCAACTTGACAGATACTCGGAGTAAGGACAAAGTTAGACCATTTCTGAAATTCTTAAACTATATTAGGACTTGATATATCACATATCATTTAGGACATGTTAAAAAAAGGTAAATGGTGAGCTCAGTCTGCGATACTAGTGGAACCAGCGGGTACAGGACCTCAAATATGGAGATGCCATTCAGCCACGGGCTTCCGAAAATGGAACGGAGAGATCACACGTGAATGTTTTTTTTTCCCCACTTACTTGATGTGCTTGAGGTACAGGGGTCCGCATCCATACAGAAGTGAAAGTAAAACCAATGCATCGTATAATTTCAACTTTAATTTCAATCGTATGTTAGTCTGGTTAAGAACTCTGTTATGGAGTCTAATCAATGTTGGGCTTGCTTAGTTAATTGAAACATCAATAGCACGGGATAGTGCGTAGAAAATGTCTGCTTCTGTATAGCAAAATATACACTTGGTAAGGAAAGATAGCGAGAATACATGATTTCAATCTGTGTTTAAAAAAAGAAAACTAAATAAATAAAGAACAATGTAATTTTTTTTAAAATAGAAGAAAAAAGTAATTTAAAAAAGAAGGAAAATATATGTGGTGTAATTTAAAAAAAGAAAAGAAAAATAGATGTGTATTTTCAAAATGGCAGAAAGAAAAATATAAAGATTATTTACATTATTCAGACTATTGTCCTCATCCTTGTTGGAATATTTATTACAACCTTTCGACCGTTGTACGCCCCGACCGTCTTCAGGTGGTTGGAATGTCGAACTGAACAATTTATTTCGCTTACTGGGTTAGAAGAATATAAACAGGGTAATTTGCAAAAGAAAGAAAAATACATGAAGAGTAATTAAAAAAGGAAAAAAATACATGCAGTGTAATTAAAAAAATAGAGAGAAAAATACATGCAGTGTTATTTAAAACAGAAAGAAAAAATACATGCAGTGTAATTTCAAAACGAAAGAAAAAATGCATGCAGTGTAATTTAAAACAGAAGAAAAATATATGCAGTGTAATTTAAAACAGAAAGAAAAAATGCATGCAGTGTTTTTTCAAAAAAAAAAAGTAAAATGCATGCAGTGTAATTTAAAACAGAATAAAAAAAATGAAGTATAATTTAAAACTGAAGAAAAATACATGCAGTATAATTTAAAACAGCAAGGAAAAATGAATGCAGTGTAATTTAAAACAGAAGAAAAAATACATGCAGTGTAATTTAAAACAGAAAGAAAAAATGCATGCAGTGTAATTTCAAAAAGAAAGAAAAAAATGCAGGCAGTATAATTTAAAACAGAAAGAAAAATGCATGCAGTATAATTTAAAACAGAAGAAAAATACATGTCGTGTAATTTAAAACAGCAAGGAAAAATGCATGCATGTTCATTTAAAACAGAAGAAAAAATACATGCAGTGTAATTTAAAACAGAAAGAAAAAATGCATGCAGTGTAATTTAAAACAGAAAGAAAAAATGCATGCAGAGTAATTTCAAAAAGAAAGAAAAATTGCATGCAGTGTAATTTAAAACAGAATAAAAAAATGCAGTATAATTTAAAACTGAAGAAAAATACGTGCAATGGAATTTAAAACAGAAAAAAATGAATGCAGTGTTTTTTCAAAAAGAAAGAAAAAATGCACGCAGTGTAATTTGAAACAGAAAGAAAAATGCATGCAGTATAATTTAAAACAGAATAAAAATGCATGCAGTGTAATTTCAAAAATGAAAGAAAAAATGCATGAAGTTTAATTTAAAACAGAAAGAAAAATGCATGCAGTGTAATTTAAAACAGAAGAAAAATACATGCATTGTAATTTAAACAGAACGAAAAAATGCATACAGTGTTTTTTCAAAAAGAAAGAAAAAATGCAAGCAGTATAATTTAAAACAGAAAGAAAAAATGAATGCAGTATAATTTCAAAAAGAAAGAAAAAAATGCATACAGGCTAATTTAAAACAGAAGAAAAAATACATGCAGAGTAATTTAAAAAAGAAAGAAAAAATGCATGCAGTGTAATTTAAAACAGAAAGAAAAAACGCATGCAGTGTTTTTTCAAAAAGAAAGAAAAAATACATGCAGTGTAATTTAAGACAGAAAGAAAAATGCATGCAGTATAATTTAAAACAGGAGAAAAATACATGCAGTGTAATTGAAAACAGCAAGGAAAAATGCATGCAATGTAATTTAAAATAGAAAGAAAAAATGCATGCAGTGTAATTTCAAAAAGAAAGAAAAAAATGCATGCAGTATAATTTAAAACAGAAAGAAAAATGCATGCAATGTAATTTAAAACAGAAAGAAAAAATGCATGCAGCGTTTTTTCAAAAAGAAAGAAAAAATGCATGTAGTGTAATTTAAAACAGAAAGAAAAATGCATGCAGTATAATTTAAAACAGAAGAAAAATACATGCCGTGTAATTTAAAACAGCAAGGAAAAATGCATGCATGTTCATTTAAAACAGAAGAATAAATACATGCAGTGTTATTTAAAACAGAAAGAAAAACGCATGCAGAGTAATTTCAAAAAGAAAGAAAAAATACATGCAGTGTAATTTAAGACAGAAAGAAAAATGCATGCAGTGTAATTTAAAACAAAAAGAAAAAATTTATGCAGTGTAATTTCAAAAAGAAAGAAAAATTGCATGCAGTGTTTTTTCAAAAAGAAAGAAAATATGCATGCAGTATAATTGAAAACATAAGAAACAATACATGCAGTGTAATTTCAAAAAGAAAGAAAAAATGCAAAAAGTGTAATTTAAAGCAGAAAGAAAAATGCATGCTGTATAATTTAAAACAGAAGAAAAAATACATGCAGTGTAATTTAAAACAGAAAGAAAAAATGCATTCAGTGTCATTTCAAAAAGAAAGAAAAAATACATGCAGTGTAATTTAAGACAGAAAGAAAGAATGCATGTAGTATAATTTAAAACAGAAGAAAAAAATACATGCAGTGTAATTTAAAACAAAAGGAAAAATACATGCAATGTAATTTCAAAAAGAAAGAAAAAATACATGCAGTGTAATTTAAAACAGAAGAAAAATACATGCAGTGTAATTCCAAAAAGAAAGAAAAAATACATGCAGTGTAATTTAAAACAGAAGAAAAAAAATGCTTGCTGTGTAATTTAAAACAGAAAGAAAAAATGCATGCAGTGTAATTTAAAACAGAAAGAAAAAATGCATGCAGCATTTTTTCAAAAAGAAAGAAAAAATGCATGTAGTGTAATTTAAAACAGAAAGAAAAATGCATGCAGTATAATTTAAAACAGAAGAAAAATACATGTCGTGTAATTTAAAACAGCAAGGAAAAATGCATGCATGTTCATTTAAAACAGAAGAAAAAATACATGCAGTGTAATTTAAAACAGAAAAAAAATGCATGCAGTGTAATTTCAAAAAGAAAGAAAAAATGCATGCAGTATAATTTAAAACAGAAGAATAAATACATGCAGTGTTATTTAAAACAGAATGAAAAACGCATGCAGAGTAATTTCAAAAAGAAAGAAAAATGCATGTAGTGTAATTTACCACAAAAAGAAAAAAATCATGCAGTGTAATTTCAAAAAGAAAGAAAAGTTGCATGCAGTGTAATTTCAAAAAGAAAGAAAGAATACATGCAATATTATTTAAAACAGCAAGAAAAAATACATGTAGTGTAATTTCAAAACGAAAGAAAAAATGCATGCAATATAATTTAAAACCGAAGAATAAATACATGCAGTGTTATTTAAAACAGAAAGAAAAATGCATGCAGAGTAATTTCAAAAAGAAGAAAAATGCATGCAGTGTAATTTCAAAAAGAAAGAAAAATTGCATGCAGTGTAATTTCAAAAAGAAAGAAAAAATGCATGAAGTGTAATTTAAAACAGAAAGAAAAATGCATGCAGTATAATTTAAAACAGAAGAAAAAATACCTGCAGTGTAATTTAAAACAGCAAGAAAAAATGCATGCCGTGTAATTTAAAACAGAAGAAAAAATACATGCAGTGTAATTTAAAACAGAAAGAAAAAAATCATGCAGTGTAATTCCAAAAAGAAAGAATAAATGCATCCAGCGTAATTTAAAACAGAAAGAAAAAATGAATGCAGTGTAATTTAAAAAAAAAGTAAATACATTCAGTTTAATTAAAATGAACAAAGAGAAATACATGTCGTGTAATTTCAAAATGATGTAATGAAAAATAAATGCAATACAATTTCAAAAAGAAAAATGCATGTAATGTAATTTCAAAACGAAATAAACAAAAATACATGCAGTGTATTTTAACAAAAAGAAAGAAGGAAATAAAAATACATACAATTTAATTTAAAAAAAAAGAACGAAAAACATACGTATAATTGAAATTTTAAAAAGAACGAAAGAAAATATGTGCTGTGTAATTTAAAAAAAAAAGAAAGAACGAAAAATTCATAATGTGTAATTTTAATAAAATGAAAGAAAAGAAATTACATACTGTGTAGTTTTAAAAAAGAAAGAACGAAAGAAAAACACACGCTGTGTTATTTAAAAAAAAGAAAGAATGAAATAAAAATGCATATTGCGTAATTGTAAAAATGAAAGAAAGAAAAAATAGATATTGTGTAATGTACAAAAAAGAAAGAAGGAATGAAAAATACATATTGTTCAATATTAAAAAATGAAAGAAAGAAGGAAAAATACAGCTGTATAATTTAAAAAAAAAACAACGAAAGAAAATGCATAGATTGTAATTTAAAAGAAAGAATGAAAAAAATACAAATTGTATAGTTTAAAAAATGAAATAAGTAGAGATAAATACATACTATTTAATTTTAAAAAAGAAAGGAAAAATACGTACAGTGTAAATTATCAAAATGAAAAATACAGAAAAATACATATTGCGTAAATTATAAAAAAGAAGAACGAAGAAATTGATAGTGTGTTATTTATTTAATTATTATTGCATACTGTGTAATTTTAAAAAATGAAAGAAAGAAAGAAAAATACATGCTATATAATTTAAAAAAAGTGTAATTTATGAAAAGAAACAAGGGAAGACAAAATAAATACTGTGTAATTTAAAAAAAAGAACGAAAGAAAAATAAGAAGTGTGTAATTTAAAAAAAAGAAAAAAGGAAAGAAAAATACATGCTGTATAATTAAAAAAAGGCAAGAACGAAAGAAAAAGAAAATCTGTGAAATTTAAAAAAAGGAAACGGGAAAGAAAAATGAGTGCTGTATAATGTGAAAAAAATGAAAGAAGGAAAGAAAAATACATGCTTTCTAATTTAAAAAAGAAAGAACGATAAAAAATATTTTGAAATTTAAAAAAGAAAGAAGGAAAGAAAAATGCATACTGTGTAATTTAAAAAAAAGTAAGAACGAAACTGACTCACAAAATTCGAATACTTGTATGCTAGGATGAAATTTTACATATAATTCCAACTCAGCGTAATGTCATCCGCTACAATTGAAGACTAGGGAATATCTATACATATACTTCTTCAGGCATATCTTCCAACTTTTCTAAATGATCCTTCAAACATATGGAATTCATTACTCCAATTCAGTAACTGTTATCGCTCTTTCGAATATCGATGGAGTCTTTCTTGATAACGTTTCGTTTAAAGTATTTGATTATGTCATCATTTTCTCTTCTAAAGTCCAGTAGCTGTTATCGCTCTTTCCATTATTGATGGGAGTTTCCTTCCTAACCTTTTGTTTGAAGTAATGTGGAATGTCAACATCTTGATTATGTCATTATTTTCTCTTCGTGTTACATGCGGTATCTCTTTTAGCTGTTGCTGCTGTTGAAAGACCTCAAGTGGTATGGCTTCTGTTATTTTGCACAGTTCTTTGTTGATTTCTTTGACAGTGATTATATAGCATTAGTTCCTATGGTTTGAAGATGTATGGTCTTCTCTTAGACATATCTGGTTAATTAACGCGAAGCCATTTTTAATCATCGATCTGAAAAGCATTTGTATACAGTTGACAGAGGAGAAATTTATGAACTGGTTAGGCATCATATATATATATATATATATATATATATATATATATATATATATATATATATATATGAGATCTATATGAGATTCAGGATCAGATGACACTGAGCTAGGGGTATTTTTGTCTAACATCGCAAATTGCTACAAAGAGAAAACATTTTTTTTCGAACTCGTCACGCTCTTAACATCAGTCGATTTCTCACATTAGTTTTTTTTTACTAATTTTTATGGATTCTGCCTATACACCATCACTGCATTCATTTCAATTCTAGATTTCAGTCTCTGTTTTGGAAATATTTGTCTTGAGTCCTGATTTTTGAAACACTTGGTAGACAATATACGTCTCTATTTCTGAGATAAGCTATTGTCATTATTTACATTGTTCGGACTGTTGTCCTTATCGCTATTGTCATATTCACGATGTTTGTATTATAAAGAATAAAGGGTTCAGTTCGAAAATCCCCTGAAGAATGCCGGAGCATACAACGGCCGAAACCTCGTGAATATGACAATAAAGATGAAGACAACAGTCCGGACAATGTGAATAATTGGTAGATGATGTTGACCTTTTGTTCAAGATCATACTTATCCCAACTCTGACTGCCTATGGATATCAGCGTAGCCTCGGCCGCTCATCATCGGTACACACTCGCATCTGGAGGATAAAAAGGAATGCTGTTTTTTATTTATAGATTCGTTTGAGGTCTGTGAATGGGTGCAAACTGTTCACAAGTATTGAAATGTCGCAGTCACCGAGAAATGAAGTTTGTAGACGGTGCAGCGGAGCCAAATCATTGCATGTGCTACTTTGTCATCCCACATAGTTTTAGAGTCAACAACAGCCTTCAAGGTGACGTGTTAACAACTGCAATTCATACATAGCCTCGTAAGGGTCAACACAGCAGCCGGAACCTGCAATTAATCTGAAACTGATGGAGCCGTGACATCGGAGAAGAAACCACGATAGTCTTCAAGAGTTCTATTAGCGAAGTCATGTGTCCGGTGCCGTAGGGTTAACAGGGGAATTCTGGTGGGTATTCAGCCACCATACCACATGAAAGATAAAGAATGCTGAATACCTCCTGTATTGAATATGTGATGGAGACGTGATGTCGCTTGTCTGTTACCATAGAAAATTCCAACCCCAAACCTCTGTTTATGTTGTGGTGTCTTCCCTCTAATGAGGCTATTGTGGACTCCTCCACTTGCTATAACGTAGTAGGAAAGTAAGCCTCGGAGGTATAGTGATATAAACTGTTCTACTGAGGCTGTGAATGTTCGCAGCTCCTGTCGAACTCTCTGCCTTGGGCGGAGAGGAACCCGAACGAGGCTGTGCCGAAAGACAGAGTTTCGTCCGGGGAGGTAAACGGACACGAACCCGTTTCTTCATGTTTAAGTATAGTTGTGTTTTCAACAAGGATTTTCCGGAATTGTGTACGAGGCCAGGCATGTTGTTTTTCGAGCAACAAAAACAGACTATCATTATTGTTTCGTCCGTGTATTGGTTGATATATATGAAAAGTAATTTTCATCTTTGATAGTGGCTTATGTAAGCCGAAAGCTTAGATTGGATTAAAACATGTATCAATATGGTGATTTCCTTTCGTCTTTCAATGATAATGTTATTAAGCTTATCAGACAATATGAAAAGAACGTACTTAAAATAAATAGACAAAACTTGTCTATATTATTTAATGAAACATGCATTAAAGAAAAATTGTTGCCTAAATATACACAATATATATATGCACGGTGGAGTAATGGATAGCGGCTTGGATTGAGGAATCGGAGAACTGAGTTCGAATTCCAGTCGAATCCATTACATTCACTTACGTGCTAATACCCTTGGGAAAGGTGTGAATCCTCTTCGTCTCCCTCCAGCTATGGGTAAATAGCAGGACAGACTGGGTTCTATAGCCTTGGATGGCAACTGGTCTAGGAGAAGGACAACTCTGAATTCAAAACCTGCGGAGGGTCGTTTGGGGACTTTGTGGCACTTAGTGCACCAGGTATCTGTATTCGTCCCTTCAAAAAGTGTGGATGGTCCTGCACGAAGCCTTCACCACTATAATCAAATATCATGTGCTGTTGTCGGACTGTCGGTTTCCTGGGAACTGATCTGCTTGACCCTCATACGTCGAAATCGATGGGGAAAAGGTCGACTATATATATATAAAAGCTCTACGTGTATTTTATCCTCTTGGAAATATATATATATATATATATATATATATATATATATATATATATATATATATGTTGCCCACTAATATTCTCTCTCTCTCTCTTTCTCCCTCTCTTTCTCCCTCTCTCTCTATATATATATATATAACCTTTTTCATAGCTAGCTACCTCTTTTTGCTCATATCTATCTATCTATCTATTCATCTATCTATCTCAATTTGTTCATCTGAGATAGACATGAACAGAGATAGAAATTATATAGCTAGCTATATATATATATATATACATATATATATATATATATATATAAAACAAACTGGGATAGATAGATAGATAGAAATCAAAATTGATTCAGAAAGTGAGAGCTATCTAGCTAGATATATATGAACAGGTTTAAATAGTTAGATAGATAGAAACAGACTGAGATAGATAGGTAGATAGATATGAACAAACTGAGATAGACAAACTGGGTCTTGATTGATATATACATAGATAGGTCTTCATAGATAAATATACGGATAGATAGATATGAACAAACCGTAATCGGTATGCGCAGATTGAAATAGACTGATAGATAGACTGATAGATAGATAGATAGATAGATAGACTGAGAAAGAAAGCCAGAGACTGAGATAGAAAGACAGACAGATAGGTAGATAGAGAGAAAGACATATAGATAGAAAACAGAGAATGAGAGATGAATAAACTCTTATCGATATAACCAGAGGTAGGTCGATATGAACAAAGATAGATTGATATGTAGACAGATACGAAAACTGATAGATAGGTAGTCAAATAGAAATAGATACAGAGAGAGAGAGAGAGAGAGAGAGAGAGAGAGAGAAAGAGACAGAGATCGGATAGTGAGAGAAAGAAAGAGAGAGACAGATATATATATATATAAAATAGCCACAGGCATAAATAAACCAATAACAGGCCGGGAAGAGGTGATAGTGTGTGGGTGTTTTGGAGGGTGGGGTCCTTTGGGGAGGTGCATGGAAAGATACACAGAAGTTTGGCAGGAATAGTTAGAAACGAGGGAACGTGGTAGATTTTGCTTAAACATAATCGGCACAAAACACGGAATGGGAAACACGCACGAATCGAAATATGATCTGATTGGACAGTGTGAGGGTGGAATAGCCAGGTTCTGGGAGCCGGGGTAGTGAAGTGCAATTGCGGATGGTGGCAGTGTCCGACAGAATTGATGGTCGTGGTAAGGAAATGTTTAAGTACGCCACTGGTGATGGCTGATACAATTACAAGCGAAAAGAACGGAATAGTGAAAAGGCCCGCGGGGTAAATTGCCAAATCCTCTACCCCAATCTTTCCAACCCTTTCTCTTTGATTTTCAGGGCTACACTCATTGTCTTCCCACACGCCGTTACAAAGCTAGTTACGTAGAAAGCGCCCAACACCTTTCCGTGTAACTGTATTTTCTGTTTCTAAGCCTACTCTCACTGCATCGTCCTTACTGTCTCTATCTACATATTTTTAAAGCCCCCTCTCCACCGTCCTTAGTTTAAAGTCAATGTAATAATTGCCTTTATCGTTATGGCTGTTACTATCCACTTAGCAGTCGCTACAAGTTCAGTGTATGTCATCATCACAAGTACGCATATAATCTTTTTAATTCAGTCTCTCTCTCTCTCTCTCTTTGACTAAATAATGCTTTGTCTCTTTCTCTCTCTACTTCAAACTGTTTAGCTGTTTCATTTCTCCTACTTTTTCTTCATCTCTTACTCTCCTCTCCCCTCTCTCTTCAGATTTCGAAACACGGTAGATACAAAAAGTATCCAACACAATAAAAAGAATTTGAACCAATTATTAATTATAATGCAACACTCACACGCACGCATACATAGTATTCGAAGATACCCGTCTTATAGGGCGGCTAGCCAATCCCTATTGCAGACGCTGGCTCAGGCACATTTGTGTTTGATTAACACCCACAGAGCCAATCTGTGGTTTAAACTGCAACTATGCTGTGCAGACCTTAGTTACAATTTCTGAGAGAGAGCGTGTTATCTAGCGTGATCAGCAATCTGAACAAGACTATCACACTCAAACCCTCGGTCACGATGACTTGTGACTTCGTGCTAGCACAGTTATCGACAGCCTCCAAGCACACACACACACACACACACACACACACACACACACACACACACACACATATATATATATATATATATATATATATAATAAAAAGACTTAAACACTAATATTCCATGGTCATAACTTATTCCATTGGAATCGTAAATACGATCCAATTCATCAGGCCTAAAATTTATTATATCCTTACTCTGTCCTGGACATTGAGTTCTACCTGGATTCTTCCTCTTGGAATTTTTATTCTAAAAATATACATGTATGGGTATTTATATATTTTGCATATGTATGTATATTTACCACTAATATTATCTATCTATATATATATATATATATATATATATATATATATATATATATATATATATATATATATGTGTGTGTGTGTGTGTGTGTGTGTGTGTGATAACGATATATATTTTATATATCGAGGACAGTATTGGGGAAACTGTATGACAAAGTGGAAAACGTTTACTTGTGATATATAGATTGATTTGACTTTCTGGGTTTGACTGGAAAACACTTGCCCCCCCTTTTATAAGCAAAAGCGCAGAAATGCATGCTGGCATATTTTTCTTGGCCAATAAAATTAGCCATTTTGCAGTTTGACATGAGTCAGTCGAGATCTGCCTTGTCTAGGAGACAGACCGCTACGTTCGCTTGTCCGAACTTGTTTTTGTGTGTCGACGCCAATTCTAAGTTTGTCAACTTTTTGCCTTCTTACCTGTTAATTTACCTTGCATATATTGTTTGCTTGTTTGATTTTCTTTCATTTTTTTCTTTTTATTGCAAACTTACATTTGCTCTGGCTCACTCCAGAATATATATATATATATATATATATATATATATATATATATAATATAACGTCATCCACAGACAGACTGTTTCGCTGTTTCACAGCTCATCAGTGTGGCTAGACATCCGGTTGCCTCTAGCTAGGATCGAAACCCGACTGAATTGGTGTCAGTCGGAGATTCTAACCATTAAGCCGTCGTGAAAGTGGATTCTTTAGCGTATTTATTTTTAGAAACACGCCCAGTGACCGACAGTGACTCAATTCGCTATATAGCTATAATAGTCACTGTTTACCAACACACACCTCGTCCCCAGAGAGCTCAACATATGATGTATTGTGTATTTAGGTAGCAATCCTTCTTTCATGAGAAATAATATAAAAAACTTAATCAAAGTACCTTGTCTGTATATTTAATGAAACTTGCACACACACACACACACACACACACACACACATATATATATATATATAGGTAGTATCTCACAGCATATCGTGAAATTAATATAATTTACATTGGATTGTACAGAGACGATGGACTTATGGTTATAAAGAACTCTACAAACTTTAAAATCGATAAAATTAGAAAGATATTATATAGAGAATTTAAATGCCTGAACTTAAAAATTACTGTAAGCACTAAATTGAAAAAGGTGAACTTCTTTGATATAACATTAGATTTAATGAAAATTGTATACATACCTTATAAAAAACTATACTAATCCTTTTTATATACACCCTTAATCTTTTCATCCTCCATCTATAATTAAGCATATACCTTTATCTATCGAAAAGAGAACAAGTACAATTTCAGCAAATTAGAAGATTTTCTATGAACATATTAATTTCTATAATAAAGCTCTAAAAGATAGTGGCTACAAAAGCCCAAAACTAACTTATATAAAAAATGAAAGTGGAAAGCATAAAAAAGAAATAGATAAATAATTTGGTATACACCCCCATACAAGCAAATGGTAAAGAACAAAATTAGAACAAAAATTCCTTGCATTAATCGTTAAACAAGATAGTAAACTCAGTACTATTTTCAATAAAAATACCCTAAAATTAAGTTACAGTTGTACTGAAAACTTAGAAAAAATTATTAAGAAACTTAATGCTAATATCTTGAATAAACACTTAGACCAAGACCAAAGAAGTTTAGATAATATAATGATAAAAAGAGATGAATATAAACAAAATTATGTAACGGCAGAAATCTTCATAACTGTCCTCTTAATGATAAATATCGCACTGAATAATTAGTGTACCAATGCAATGTCCCATCTATTAAGGATCCAGACAACGTAAAAGTCTACATTGGATGCATAAGACATGAGTTCAAGAAACGGTTCAAAAAACATCAAAGTTCTTTTAGAATAAATAAATACCGAAATCAAACGTCCCTATCGAAATATTTATGGCACTTAAAAGAAACCAATAAAACACCTACTGAGAAATGGAAATTAATAAGAAAAGCTAAAATATATAGGTCATTAAATGACCCATATCCTTTGTGCATACACGAGAAACTATATAATACTGGGTTTATAAAAAATAAAAACTCACTTAATCAAAGAAATGAAATAGCTATTCTTTGCCGACATCGTCAAAAATTTTCCTTAAATAATGTTTAAAAGAAAAAAAAAGCTGATGAATGAAATATTCATATTTATATTTGATATTTAATAATAATTTTTAGATAATTTGTAATTCTATTACATTTATTTGTTTTAAAAGAAGTATAGTCCATTAGCAATTAGAATTAAGAATAATATTTTAAAACTGTAGTTCAATACGACGTATTCATATACAAACAACCCTTTTAGAAAAAATCTATATGTATGCAAGTAGAAATTTAACGGCGAAACAAAAGTGTCGAAAAACTTTTTGCCGTTGATAAAGACCAGACGACATGCGTTGAACGGATGTCATCATTCGTTGAAAAATGCACCCCTACACTACCTTGACTTAAGATCTTTTCGAAAGTAACAAATATTTTGATACAATAGTTGTCAGTGAAAATGAATACCCTACCACACTTTGTCAAAATGATTGAATTTCCCAGTATCCTTAGAAACTAATATTATAAATGTATGTGTTTATAAGACTCAGTAAATTTCAAAATAAGTGATTCAAAAATTCGCTTGAAAATGAAAGTGGACTTGGGACTTTAATTTAATTCTATAATTGAATTTGAAGTTTTTAGTTTCTGTTTTTGAAACATGGTAATTCTTCAGTAGCGATGGAATCATATTTTTGAATTAGTAAATTTATAAGATATATATATATATATATATATATATATATATATATATATATATATATATATATAACAAATCCTTCTCCCATGAAAAATTATATAAAAACTATAGCTATTCGAATGGGGTAATTTTAGATTTTGTAATTCTATATATATATATATATATATATATATATATATATATATATATGATAAGAAAAAACGGACACAATGTCTCAGGCCAATTGTCGATATATGAGTTCTGTGTATAAGTTTCTAGCAAAAAAATGGCGCCTAACTAGGGAATCAGTCAATAGTACTCAAAACATAACGCAAGAAAATTTATATATACATAAAGGGTATATATATATATATATATATATATATATATATATATATATATATATAAGGGAGGATGTGTGTATGTGTAACGAATGCACATGCCGCAATTTTCGACGGATTTGCACCAAAATTTACATGCACATGCTCCAAGTTAGCAAGAAGGCCAAGACCGACTTTGCATTTTCCAACTCCCATCGATAGCTGAAATAATCGATATTTTATGCTTCTACGGCACATTTCATGTAGTTTGTGGCAATTTTCTACTGGCCAGAGTGAGAGCCAATAGCTGGCTGCCACGAATAGGCAGGAGGATTCTATTGGCCAGCGTGAGAGCCAACAACTGACTGACACAAATGTTAACTAGTATGCAAAAAAAATCGATAGCTGCATTCGTCACAAGTGGGAAAATTTTTAATCTGCATGGCACTTTACTCCAATTGGCTCATTCGCTTACTTAAACTCAACGTTGATTCTGATTCCGCAGAAATGGGTTGGGTGTGAAAAAGTATTTGTTGTTAACATTCTTTTTTCATACGGTTTTTCCAGTTAGGAGTCCTTTTTTAAAGCTGATCTTTTT